GTGCTATATTCTACCTCCGAAGACCGCGGACGGCGTGGCTTCCTGCGTCGCAGTCTTCGGTCGCTCCTGCATTGACATGCACCTCAAGGGGGTTGGATGGGGTTGAACTTGACCTTTAGCTTGGTATTACTTGTCTTGTGGTGTGTTAACATGCCTCCCGGTGCATGCAACCTCAACAAATCACCATAGTCCAACCTGCGAAATCAGAGGTTCGGAACGGCCGAGTCGCTGACGCCAGGCGCGAAGAAAATTTTCGGCGCGAGCTCTGAAGGGTTTAGGTCTTTATAGGTTTTCCGGATTTGGGGCTCTAAACCCTTAAACCCCTAAACCGTTTTGGGCTGGGTGCTTTTAGGATAAGAGGGTTAGGATGGCTCGCCGATTTGGGTTTTAGTTTCTGGAGTTGAGGAGTTGCGCGTGAAATGGTTCTGAGACTTTGAGTTGAGGGCTCGAGGGTCTCGATGTGTAGAAGCTTTCAGTGTTTCAAGTTGCCACGGTCAGGTTTTTAGCTTTGCGTGGTTAGGGCAGTGATGGGTGTGGGATGGTGGTCTTGAACTTTCGCACATAGGGTTCAACTTTGGGGTTAGTTGACTGCGAGAAGTAATAAAGAAGGGTCTGCGCAGAAAGTGCAGAAACACTGCGTGAACACGACTTGGCGACTGGTGAGCAGACATCTCACATTCTTGTGGCAGTGGAGTTGAATACATCCAATTGGGTAGTTCTCTAAGTTGGGGTCACTTTGTAGGTCCCCAAATAGCACGGCAATCTCATGAAAAGGACCCTAAAAGGGACCCTACTTTAGAGAACTACCCATTTAGGGTTTAGGGAGCTCTGCAGCGGGTGTGAAAACCTAATGTTCAACCATGTTTCGCGCAGCGGACGCACAAGCTACCATTAAGTCGCTCCAAGCTTGCTTGCTGTAGAGCCTAGGTAGGCCCTTGCGACATGCGATATTTCCTCTTTATTGGGCTTAAGAGGATCTTACTTATGAGCATTTTTCAGGGGCTTCATTTGGGCCCCAGCCCAGCAAAGGTTTCAATCGGACATAAGCAGTTTGATGATAAAGACCTTCCCGAGCCTTCGACACCGCTCGGCAGTAGAATCACACCAGTTAAGGTCATGGGCATGATCTTCCTGCCAGGTGACAGTGTGCAAGAATGCTTGAATGAGCCAGGGACTACGCTGACACTGGTTGCACATGTAATGTTTCTTGTTGGCTTTTGGTTGATGACCCGGAGGTTTGGAGGTTTCGAGGGATCACTCAACAGGGCTTACACAGACATTTTAGGCTTTCGGGCTTAGAGTTGCGCGTTGAGGGCTTCCGAGGTTTTAAGACTATAAGTATTATAAGGTCTACGAGCTAGCAGGACGCACCTTCTGAGGAAACTGCAACTTTCGGTTTAGGGCCAGGGACGTAGACTCTGGTGCTTAGGGATTATGGTGATTTATAATGGCTTTTCGAGTGTATTTTGCTATCTGGGCAGAGGCACAAACAACCTTAAATCCCAAACCCCGACGCCAGTTGTGGCCGCATCCTCGCCCTCGACAGTGTCAATTTCTTCCACGCGCGACGGGCGAATTGCCTGCCCGGCCTCAGCTTAGTGTTTGACACGAAGGTCTGAATTGCTAGACATACTACCCTACCCCCTTCTAGTGGGGAGACAGATATCCTCAACAGATATTAGTTTAATCTTTAACGCCCTGAAATTACGTAGAGTTAGTGTCTACCGGGCATACGTGCTGAGCCCCAAATACGCTCCAAGAAGCTTAAGGCAAGTCTCTAGAGGCGCCAGACCCTATACCTTCAACTTTACCTCGGCCGTAAGAGGCCCACCCTTTTTGGGGCTCCTTACTTCTTACATAAGTCCATAAGAAGGGTTAGGTCGTTTGATGCTCCAGGCAAACTAGGAATGTAGAGGCCGCGAGTGATGTCTTGGGTGGGCTACATTATGGTGTACATGTAAATTCTGTAACAATCATGAAGGAATTGAAGTTTCAGGCCGTAACTGCCTTTAGGTTTGCCTAAATGAATGGCTTGAAGAATTTGCCCGGGTTTAGGGGAAACTCTGTGAGAAGTTCAAGCAATCACAGTGTCTGTGTTGTCCGATGGGAGATGTGTAGTTCCGAAGACTGTCGAAACTCGCTTCGTTCTTGTGTGTCTGTCGCTCCTACAGTTGCATCCCCCGTTAAACGAGAAGGCCCTGCTGTTGAGGAATGTTCACTGACACACAATCCTGATATAGGGGCCTAATGAATTACCTATATTATTTTGGGGGTTCCTTATTATAATTACAGTGTAATTACAGTATACTGGGCCCCAAAACCCTATTCTAATTGTTAAGGCCCCTACATTAGCTCATCCTTCAAAACGGGGAAACCCTGTGTTTCACTATTCCATGTCGGCTCAAGGAGGCATGGCATCGTTGATGTAAGCAAGTCTACAAAGAATCGTGTAAACCCTCAACCCCTAAACCCCTAAACCCTAAACTCTAAACTCTAGTTGCATGTTTTGGGTATCAGGGGAGGCAAGAATCATTTGCTTCGCCGTCCTCATGGCGATGGAATGGCGCGGCGTCGACCATGGCTGGGCTCAGGTGGGTAGGGTTTAGGGTTTTAGGGTTTAGGGTTTTAGGTTTTTAGGTTTTAGGGTTTAGGGTTTCAGGGTTTAGGGTTTAGGGGGGTAGGGTTGTGGAAAAGGGTCTAGGATTTAGGGGTTGGGGTTTAGGGGTGTTGCCAATTACCAACACTACGGGCCCCAAAGTGAGAGCTTTTGATGCAGCAGGGGCTCTTAATTCCCGCCAAAGATCCATGAAAGCTTTCGGGTCGGGGTATGGGTTGTTTTGGAAGCTTGTATTGGTTTGGGTTTAAGAGTCAGGGCTTCTTTGGCTCTTCCTTGACGCTCCCGTTCCGCATCGGGCGGTTCAGGGTTAAGGATTTAGTGCTCAAGGTTTCGGGCTCTGAGGGTAAAGGTTCAGGGTTTGGGCTTTACTTTGCATGATACCCGGGGTTTGAAGTACTGACATTCCTGCCTCACCCTCAGCCAAACCCTCAAACCTCGAACCGCAAACACCAAACCCTAAACCCTAAATCCAAACCCTAAGTTTTGCCTGTATTGACCATGGTCCAATCATCGCAATTAGTATTACTATTACGTTTGTTTTTATTCGTATTGCTATTGTGATTAACATTTTGTATTGCTATTATTTGTTTTTTGTTATTATTCTCATTAATGCTGCCTTCATTACTTTTGTTATTCTATTAGTACCAGTCGTTTGCAAGATCAATATAATGCTTCTCACAAGACTAAAGCTCCGAGTCATGTTCCTTGCGTGTGTTCGCGAAAGGGTGCTGGTGGACGGAGGAAAGGTGGTCGTTGCAGCTGGGAGAACAGAATGAAATAGCCGCCAGTAGAATAGAGCGTATGCTAGTTGTAGGCGGCATCGGCACTACTACTACCACAACAACGACTACCCTCCACTGCTAGTATTACTGCTACTATACAGCAATAGCGACTACTACTCCTGCTGCTGTTTCCCTGGAATCCGAAAGGTGTGACATTCCCTAATCCCGAAGCTCTACGTGACTCGGGCTGCTAGTATCCGTGCTGGTCTGAGGAGCAAGCGCCGTGGCTCTGCTGTGACCTGAGGTGTGGCATTCGTGTTTTCGGTTTAGGGTTTAGGGGTTTAGGGTTTAGGGTTTGCTATGTCTTTGGTATCGGGTCGCGGCTTTCGGTTCCGTGGGCTCGTTTTTTACAGCTTCAAGGCTGTTTTGGGTGCATTTGGTTCTCACTTCCCCGTTTCCTTCTTCAAGAGCCTAAAGGGCTGTGGGATTCAGCGAAGGCCTATCTAAACCCTAAACCCTAAACCGCAGGGCTGAGAGGTTTACTTGTTCAGGGTTCAAAGGTTGAGTTACAAAGGTTCAGGTCTTCAGGGTTTTTTGGGAGGTTTAGGGTTTAGGGGTAGAGGGGTTAGGGTTTAGGGTGTGCGCTGAGTGTTGAGTAGCCAAGTCAGGGATGTTGACTTCAGAGTTTCGTCGTTCATGGGTTAAGCCACCTAGACCTACTAAACCCTAAACTCTAAACCCTAAACCTAGACCGCCCTAGCCCTATGCCCCAAACCCTCAAAGCTCTCAAATCCCGAAGACCAGATTGGGGTTTCGGTGCGAGTTGCTGGGCTTGCATGGTTTAGAGTTTAGATTCAGTATTCGGGGCAGATTTGGGATTAGCGTCCAGGCCCTATGCGCGCTGAACCGCTTGGGATGAGGGTTGAGTTTGGGGGAGGAGACAGTCGACTTGAAGTGGTCGAACAGGGCTTGACGTCTGACTTGAAACTTTGTTTCCCTGAGCGATGGGCGCAGGCCGTCTCAATCGGCATTCTGGCAGGATAAAGTTATGAATATTGTACTGCCCCCTGTGAGTATACGTGTTGTAAATTCTACACAATCTAGATCTATAAGGCGCTTGATTGTAGCCCTATTCTAGACTGTTACCACCCCGTGTTCTCAAGATCAAGATTCAAGATCTTCCGGGCTTAAGGTTCCCCGCATGACGTTGTTGTGAAGCAGTACTGAACATGATGGTAGCTATGGGCAGGAGGGTGATGATAACCTAAAGCGACCTAAGTAGAGTGTTGCAGCACTGTTCTTGATTCTCTAGGGCTGCATTAAACCGTTAAACCACAGAAAATCCAACTCGAATCGTTATAGGCATGACTACTACACCGCTACACCCCATACCTAAGACTCCAAACCTCCCAACCCTAAACCCTAAAAACGGGATAAGAATGACGGCATTCAGCGGGATCCAGCAAGCACAACTTCGGAGATCATGATTAAGAGTTGCAAAAGAGTATTTACTCACGAGAACAATAGTAGAACTAGTAATGTAGGGGCCGTAATAATTACCCATACTATTTTGGGGGTTCCTTATTATAGCTTTAGTATAATGGGCCCAAAAACCCTATTCTAATTATTAAGGCCCCTATATTAGTAGCGGCTTAGTAGCGATGCCATGGAGCTCCGGTGGTGGAAGAAACCTATGGAGAGGGGCGAAGAAGTGCAGAGATGACCAGTGGCAAGCAGCGGGCCCGAAGTTCCACTTCGTCTACTGGGATGCCTGTGGTGGAGACGCCGAAGGCTTCTTACCGGTAGGGAGGCTGTAGTGTTTCAGGTTTTAGGTGTTTTGTAGCAGCGTTTTTTGTAGGAGGTTGTACAGGGTTTATATGGTTGAAGGCTTTTGTGTAGGAGGCTGTAGGGTTTAAGGTTTAGGGGTTTCGCAGGAGGTTGTAGGGTCTACAATATATATGCTTTAGGGTTTGGAGGGTTTAGGGCTCACGAAGATAGGGATGATGAAGGTGTCGTGAGTGAACTTGTAAACCTGGAACGATTGCAAAGGTTGCATACAACACAAGTTTATATGCGGAGGTGCACAGATCAGGTGTCAATTCTCTTAACTACCTGCTGCTCTTGTTGAAGCCACACGCGCCCCTAAACCCGAAAAGCCCCTGTAAATCCCTAATCCCTGAAGCCCAAAGCCTCAAAAAAACATCTTCGACAAATCCAAACCCTGAGGTTTCCAGTTGGAGCAAGCTTATTCCATGGAGGATGCTTTCGAAGCCAGGGAGCTCACCGTTGGTCCGGCTTTGTGCGAAGAATGCGGAGGGGTGACTTATCGGTGTGTTGACGAGGGTTTTTTTTGTGGATGTGGTTTGTAGGGCCTTTGTAGTTGGAGTTTGGGGTTCGGGGCTGAAGGTGGAACTACTTTTTGAGAGTTGTTTTGTGAAAGGCTTTCCTAGAGCAGTGGGTTTTTGAGGCCATGGGAGACCCAGCATCTAAGGTGATGGAGTCGTGGAGGCATCGCTTTGATATGATCCACGCCTGCATTCGTATGCTCGCCAAGGAGGGCCATGGACTTCGTCCAGAGGTTCTGACCTTTTCGGCCCTGTCCCCTGGGAAGTGCTTGATCTATGACATACACAGTTTCCGTGCCCACAACGCCTGGCAGAGGAAGAATGTCCTGACAGAGTCGACCACCCTCGGGGTAGCCCTGCAAGTAGAGCGGGGCCAGCTGGACGAGAACTGCGGGGTGCAGGTTCGGAGCTTCGACGGGGACTCCGGAAGAGCCGTCCATCTCAAGAACTTCGCCAAGAAGGTGGTGCAAGCAGCCCGGAATGAGGAGGGCGCAGCAGCTCTTCTGGTGGTGGACCCGGAGGGCGTGGAAGTCGCCTCTTTCGGGCTGGGCGCGGGCGGCCGCGGCTTTTTTGCCTCCCAAGCAAAGGAGGACCCGATACGACAGGTGCTTGTCTTGCTAGGCCCAATCGACAAGAACATCCCAAACGATCGAAGGAACCTCATTGAGGCCTGCGTGGAAGGAGGCTGTGACGGGCCTCTGCGCTTGGCTTTCACATCCTGGAGACTGCCAAATGCAGCAGTTGGTGACTTGTTGATGCAGCATGACAGGTGTGAGCTACTCCCTTTGCTGGAGGATCTCCGTGCAGTGGGTGAAGAGCAGTATAAGCTTTTCTTAAAAAGCTTTCAGACGACGCTCCAGGTTATGGCCCTGAATGCCGGCCAGCCCGACCTGGTGGAAGCCTTCCACGAGGCTGCGATTCAGAATCAGAAGCCGGTGGAGGAGCTTCCCCTGAGGCCCAGACCTCCACAGCATCCCCCTCCAGCTCACCTCAAGGCCAAGAGCTCGGCCGAAAAATGGGGCGAAAAGGAGACATCTCAAGCCGATGAGGCCTCGGTACCCCCGGAGCCACCGAAGACTCTGCGGATGCTACCCACAGCCAAGAAGAGGCCCTGGAGAGATGCAGCGGACGATGAGATAGGAGATTTCATCAAGAAGGTTGATGAATGTGAGATGGTGCCGGATGCCACAGCTTAGTCAAAAGAGCCCCCTTCTAGCCAGGCTGTGTTCTGCTTCAGTGAAGCTTAGGCTTAAACCCTAAACCCCTATAGAACCCTATAACCCCCTATAAACCCTAAATCCCTGAATCCTGAATGAAGCTCAATGGCATTGTCGGAGCTTTCGCCAGAGATCTAATGTCGGCAGGCATGGAATTTAGGAGGATCGAGGTTCGAGTGGTCCAGGGTTTCTGGGGGTTAGGGGCGGTTGGGAGGGGCGGTTGGGGGTGAAGGTTCTGGAGTTTAGGGTTTTTTTGTTGGCTTAAGGTTTAGGCGTTTAGAGTTTAAGGTTTAAGGCTTAGGAGTTTAGGGTTTAGGAGTTTAGGACTTTAGGATTTTTTTTGGGGGTGTCCAGCGTTCCGGATAGAATCTGAGCAAGAAACCCGGGGTCTTACTGGACAGCTTACTCCGGATTCGCGCTGACATGAGCTTACTGGAAGACAGGTATAGCGCCGTAGAGCCCCTCTTCACAACATCTGGATTCCAGTACCCCGGAGATATTGAATTAGCACCAGGACCAGGAGTCAAAATATGACTTTGAAGCTTTCATCAAGTGCCACTGGGCTGGTACACGCCATTGGTCTTTGGCGACGATATATCAAATCTTGCGCCCGGCGAAGAGCCGGGTTACATCACTGACCGCTTGAGCGCTTTAGGATCCCAAACATAAATTAAACCCTACACCTGAACCGTTATAAATTGCAACCTATAGTACCCTAAACAGAAGGAGCCTGAATATTATAAGGACCCCAAAATTGCAAACCCTATACCTTGAGCCCTTTGGGTTTATTTTGTAAGTGTGTTTCTGGGCAGGGCCGCCTTCCCTTGGCTCGTGACCCGACGATGTAAACAGTTTTTTGGTGAGGTTTTCAGGGCTTAATCTTTGGGGCTAAAAGAGGTCTGTGGGCTATGTTGTTGGGGTGCCTGGGTTTCGTAATGTAGGGTTTAGGGTTCAGGGTTTAAGGCGTTTGGGGCTTTCAGGTGGAGTAATCTAGGGTGCAGGGTGTTGGGTTTCGGGTGTTTTTGAGGGTCCGTTGGTTCAGGGTTTAGGGGTTGAGGTATTGGCATCCTCCTAGGCCTGACTGCGTGGATTGAACTCGGCAAGTAGCCCCAGGGCGACGATTATCATATATTCGTGTGGGACATTCGAACTTCAGGCGCATAGCTGACATACACTTGGGTTTTGCCATGATAGACCACAAGCAACATCTCCTTAACGCCCCCCTACCGCCAAACGAGAGTTTCGCCCCCTATACTGATGCCGCATGCACTACAGTACAGCAGCCTGAGGAGTCAGAAGTATTTTTCGTTAGAGTTCCTACGTATTCTAGAATAAGAAAATGAGAGTAATTATAAATGTCCTTGATTTCTAGTTCATTCTGCGAAATAGTTTTGGGTATCGCATGCCACGATCATTTTTGGACTTCGCTCGCTGGGGTTGATAAGCCGTAGACGCACTTGATGATTTTTCGCGAGCTTGAAAGGTAACCTATGAGCAGGCAGGGAGACGCAAACAGCAAGAGTCACCTGGCCCCAACAATGTAGTACCATTTCTTGGCTACCATATGTTTAATTTTCGGATCCTAGACATGAAACAGGGCACAAGACAAAGGCTATCTTCTAGAGGCATGCGAGCAATTCCTCAACATCTTGCACTGCAAAGACCTAGACCCATAAACCCGGCACCCGAAAAACAACCGAACAAACATGGACCCAGAACCCTACCCATTAGGGTCACACCCTACCCCGCATTTAGGGCACCTACTGTTGTGTATAACAGATCCTAACCATAAGACTAGGTACCCAAAAGACCGGGGAGGGTATGAGCCTCTAGGTAAACCCCATAAACATATTAAGGTGTACAATAAGGACCTACAAAATGTAGGTTTGGGCAGGATAAAATAAACCCTAAACCCGAGACCCAAAGCCCTAAAACTGAGGAGAACTTGGTTAGCTGCTGCAGCTTCTGGCCCCAAATCCCCTGGCGACCGGCAAAAGTGGGAGTGACTTGGTTGAGAAAAGGATATGTCGGGTTTACATCTATATGTATAACATGTGTATAGTATATATATATATATGTGTGTGTGTGTGTACAGAAAGATAAACAGATAGATAGATAAGCAGGTCGATAATATATATATATATAACAGAATATCATAGACAGATAGACGGATAGATAGTCAGATAGATATATAAATAGGTAGATAAGCTTCAGGGTCAGCCACAGTGTTTTGCCAGCTTTCGATTAGGTTTCCGACTGACTTCAGTCTCTTGTCGTAAACACCCACAGACAAAAAATGGCTCCATCCCTAAGCCCCAAATGCCCAAACCCCTGATTTTGTGCACACTCCCTTGTTCTAAAACCCTGAACACCTCGGTCCTGCGGCGTATTCTACTGTCACCCTCATTGCTGCATAAGCCAAGTTCGTAAACTTTGTCTTCCCGAAGGACCCCAGTTCCTGTGCCCTAAACCCTAAACCACATTCCCGTTCTTCCGCGCCTGCCCAAGATCTTCATCGCACCAGACAGTCGCGAGCTCGTCCTGCGATGTGAAGCTGATGGCGCAGGACTTGGGGAAGCCACGCCTCCTAAGGGTGTAGGATGTAGGATTCTTACTGCTTTAGTAGGGTTTAGTTTAGGTTGTGCATAAGGTTCAACGGTTTATTCGTTGGGCTATATATCCATTGATGCAGAACACATGCCTTTGCGCAATGGGCCTTGTTTGGTAGTTCTTGCGCGCTTGCCGTTTTAGGGTTCAGGGCTTAGTGTTCCGTGTCATGCAGGGCTGAAGGCGTTGCGGGTTTAAGGAAAAAACAGCTAAACCCACAGCAAAAAAAAATTGTTTAGGGAAAAAACAGCTAAACCCACAGAAAACGCGAGAGGCCAAGCAGTCTTGCGCTTGGGACAGCTCCGGAGCCTCGATGCCTCAGCTCGCGGCCGCCGGCCTTGGAGTTGCCCCTGGGGCCACTAATTAAGGGGGGGTGCGTGTTTTTTTTATTTTTTATTTTTTATAGGGTTTTCATGAGTTTTTTGGACTTTTTTTGGTTGGAAATGAGGTCTATAGGGTCTTTTAGGGTTTTATGGGGTTTAGGGTTTGCGGTTTTGTAGTGCTTTTTGGTTTTGGGTGTTTTGTATCACAGGGTTGATAAGGCGGCCCCTGCGGGGGGGGGGGGGGGGGGGG